ACAAGAGAATTTTTGATAAAGTGATTTTTGTTGCAACTGGTATTTTCAATAGATTGTTTTTTTTGAAGCCCAAGCTTATTTCTCTCTAAACTATTTATCTCTAAACTCCAGCACTACCATATGTGTTTGTCCCACTTAAACACCAGCACATGTCTGACCGTTTGGGTCATAACTTCAGCCTCCACAACATTGAAACCATGAAACTTTTTTTCCCATGTCTATGCACAATGTTTTCATTTATGAATGAGGTAGACGAAGATATTGTAAGCCACATTTTTTACAGAATTACAGAATCATGGAATACGTTGATTTGAAAGGGACCCACAAGGATCCTAGAAGTCCAGCTGACCATGCACAGCACCATCCCCAAGAGTCACACCATGTGTATGAGTGCATTGTCCAAATGCTTCTTGAGCTTTGTCAGGCTGGTGCTGTGAGCACTTCCCTGGGGATCCTGTTCCAGCGCCCAACCATCCATCACCAGGAGTGAAAAACTTTTCACTGATATCCAACCCAAACCTCCCATGACACAGCCTCAGGTCATTCCCTCAGGTCCTGTCACTGGTCACAAGACTGAAGAGATCAGTGCCTGCCCCTTCTCTTCCCCTCAAGAGCAAGTTGTAGACTGAAATAAGGTCTCCTCTCAGTCTCCTCTTTTGTTGGATGTAGCAGCAGCTTTTGGATGCCTATATGCATAACATAAGCATATACAGAAACTTAATTGCTAAAACATGAACATACATTTTTGAAATTATTTGAAAAATCTGGATTGTCTATTACCTGAAGACTTGAAATAATTTTGACCTTTAAGGACAACAAGTCTTCATATTAATTGTTTTCAATGCTGGAATTTTCCACAAATTTGTTTCAGAATGTTGAAACGTAAAGTTTTGGCAAGTATGATCAAAGAGAGTTTGGACTTACTGAAATGACTGTTTCCATTGTAAATTCCTCAGAATCCAAAACTCCTGATTTGAAAACTCAAACTGTGTTTGGTTGCTTTGATTTTTTTAAGATCAAAATACCATTCAAACATATAGTTGCAAGAGAATTTTTATTTCCCATTTTCCCACTGTGTATTTTTAGTGCAAAAAGCTTCAGCAAACCCTAGTTCTCGCTTTGGAGGAAATCAAGGCTTCCACAAAGTTCAGTGAAATGTTCCATATGAGGAAATATAGTGATAATAAATCATAAAGCTGTTGCAGCCTGATTGCTGCAATGAGTGACATAATTAGATGCCAACACCTAACCACACAACAATCCATCTTTTGCCTGCCATTCCTCTGTCATAACCTCTCTTCACATAAACAATTACAGGAACCTCCAGAGACCTGTACTTGCAGAAGTACATTATCCCATGGGTAGTGGTGGGGTATGGGGGTATGGGGACTCTTTCCCACTTCTCATTCTTAAACTCATGAGATGCAGAGGATTGAGGATAGGAACACACCTTATGCATTAGAATTTTTCCTTCTTTTAAGTCAGAAGAGAAAGAAACAAATAGGAGTGTGGGGAAAGGAAGAAAAAGTATGATTTTCATTTCCACATGGAAATAATTTTGCAATTAAACCATTGCAATACTTAAAGGTGTCCAGTATCTGTTGAATTGATCAGCATGTATGTACAGATTTGTTTTCTCTATTTGTTCATTTTTGTATTTCTTTTTAAAGGAATGGAATGTTTCAAGAAAGATTTTTAATAGTATTTATATTATAAAATAGATTACCAGTTTTAAATATCTACCTGTGATTAAACAAATTGATAACACTAGTTTTCCTCTTATACCTTGAAATCCAAATATCTTGTGAATTTCCAGTATTTATAGCATGTTGTTCTTCTGCATAACATAAAATAAAAAACACTTGATTAAAAAACTGTTTCAATGGATCCCACACCAAATAACCCCTACGCCTTATGACAGTGATATGACATTAACTTGCAACACACATTCTATTATGAAGCATATATAGGAAAATATTTGGTTTTAAATGTGTCTTATATTTTCTGTCCCTTTTTGAAAGGCACTGTGAATCTCATTCTTTGATAGGACACTGGTAAATATAGATGATACCAGCAAAAAAAAGAAAAAAAAATGAGTTCAACAAAAAAAAAAAAATCCATGTCTGGAATGTCCAGACATGTCCTTCATTATAAAAATTGTAGATACAGACATTTCCAGTAAACAAGAAATTTTGCATATATTCACATACAGTCTTATCTCAGAGTAAGAATATTTAACATCTGGATTCTCAAAATATTAGAGATAAAGGACAGACTGATTAAAGAGCCTGTGGGTAGAGTCCCAGCTATAATTGTATGTTCAGCTGCTTCACTAGTTGCCATTGAATTTATTAGTCCTTTGATGAAGTAAAAAATGAATTCTCTATGAGAGCTCTCACACAGATCTCTGACTGCTCTCCTCTAACATCCTCTCACTGTCTACCCATCTCTCCATTGATTATATGGGGAATCTATGACAACTTACTTAAAGTGTCTCAATTTAAAGTGGCAAAGTAGGTGGAGTTAATGAATATTCTAATGACAGCAGCTCATCATGTACTTCCTTGTAAAGTTTAGCTGTACTTTAGAAAAGCCTTTCTGCCATTGCTGTTGTTTTTTGCTTTAGGATTCCAACCAGTCAGCACACAAATATATAATTTCTATTCTTATAAAAAAGAACACCATTACATAAAACTGCCTTCTAAATTTCAAAATTAAAATGATAAAATATTAGACCAAGTCCTGGTTTAAAGAAAGTATTCAGCAGTGAAAGGACATATGATTTTCAATAATATCATTGCTAATGACTGGGAATACAGATGGCAGATGTAAAAGGGAAACTCCAGCAATAAAAGCAATTAGAGTATTAACTTTGAAAGTACTCAAAGCACAGAGAAATAATACAACAAAGTGCAGGTCAAAATCTGCAGAGACATTTTAGCACCAAGTTTCTACAGCTTTAAGCAGCAGATAAACACCCAAATATCTGTTAACACTAAATTTGTAGAATATTTAATAGCACAGCTCTGTGTCATAGTTATAATTATTAAGATCCTGTGAAGCCTTTATTTTAAGAAATTCCAATGTTAATAAATAGGAAATTTATTTCAATAAACTAAGTAGAGACCTCATCAATCTGTAGAGGATAAGAGAATTCAAGCTTTAGTAAAACCAGCTAATTCACCTGAGGGAAAAAAAACTAACCCACAAGCCAACACAAAGAAATTCAAACAGCCAAACAGCTATTCAATAAAGCATGAAGGATAAAAAAAAGTAGTGATGTCTACAGATCTTTTAGAATATTGAAGAACTAATACAGCATAAATGCACTGAGACAGCACAGACTAGGACATTTGATCCATAGGTCGTTGGAGAAACAAGAACATCTTCTGAGGCTGAATGGACTCTTCAGGTTAAACTCTGATAATTTAGATCATAGAAAAACATTCATCTGGTTTTATCTGGTCATTTAAACATCCTCTATTGAAAAATAATCATAAATTTATTCAGCTGTTCTTCACTATGCATCTTAGGATGTGATCTCTGCAATGTTTATAAAGGATACAAAGACAATTAATGCAGTAGTTTGCATAATTGACTTGAAATGAAAAACAATATTATAATGACAGGCAGGGACATGAGCACCAAAACAAATGTATAGGAGTTTCTGAATTGTTTATATCTTTCCTAGTTGTTATTTCAGGAAAGAGGCCCCCTTTTCTCAACACTTCTTATCCACTTTCACTGTGAAAATGCATTTCAACCTCAGCATTGACAGTGAATTGTTTTCAATATACACAGTCATACAGCTTTATATGGTTTGTCATACACTTTAGTTTTTATAATTTCTCTCTTGGGAACATGAGATAAAACACTCTTTCCTATATTATAGGTTGTGGAGTCTCTGAGTCACACACAGATAGCAATGACTAGAGAACAAAACCATTTCACTCCTTCCATTTCACAAGACTGATGATTACACAGTAGTGAGAAAAGTATAATCCACATTATGGATAGGAAGATTTAAATTATGGAAACAACACAACTCGGTTATTTTATATAAAATTCTTTCTTCTTACAACTACACATTAAATTGACTTGGCATTCATGTGTGCAATCTGTGAAGAACATGATAATGTTTTTTAATTCATGAGATTATTTACATTTCTATTAATTAAGAATGATACTAATTTTTTTAATTTATTTTCAGAAAATTAGAAGCCATTTAACATTTTATTTAGGCTGAAGTTTGCCCAGACCTAGATTCTCAGCTGTTGAATAATTTTCTAATTGACACACTTTTTCTAACCTCAATTTTCCCCCCTTTTATTACTTTTGCAGCACTCTGAGAGTTAATAATATCCTAATAATGTTTACATTCTCCTTTTTGAAGAGTCCAAATTTCTATGCAGAAATTGCTGTTCACTGCAGATAACAAAACCATTAAAAACATTCTGTTGTACCCAATCCACTAATGCTTTATGTGCAAGATGAATACTAAAAGCACCATTATCAGCAGTTACCAATCACTTATTGACACTTACACAATTAATTAAGTAGCTGCTTCATTAACATTTTCAATCTGAGTGTATATTTTCTGTTACGTATCTAAATCAAACATTTGTTGAATTAGAGGACAGGACCAATCTTAGTTGCTTCCTGACCAGAGATCTGCAGGAAACAAGAAGCCAGCATTATGCAGCACATGGCTTCGGTCTGCATTCATGACTCACAATCATGCTATGCTTCTGGTGCAGCAAGGAACAGCACGTACTTAGCCAGGCACAAGAGACTACTGTCTTCTTCTTCGTGCTAATGCTTCCTTCTACTGCTATGGATAAATGATACTCAAATCATATTAAGAGTAAAAGAACAGAAATAAACATATATATCAATCATCTGCACTTCTTGCAAGGAAAGATCCAAACATTTTTATATATGTGTATATTTCTATTTCTTGAGACTCTACAAAATGTACTGCCTGTTTAACTAAGCCTTTGATCTACAGCGTTTCTACAAGAAAACATGGGTAGCAGTGGCATCCTAAAAGATTTCAAAGGAGAAATGCCTTCTGTAAAATCTTGTGCCAGGAGGATAAGCACCATATACTTCCCTCAAATTTCCTTCCTATTGACCTTACAAGCAGGTAAGAGAAATGAACAGTTGCCTCTTTTATTTATATCCCAGTGTTGCCACTTCACTGTTCTGCAGCTTGAGAGAAAGTGATCTGGGGCATGGTGAGTGTGCTATGAGTATAGTATAATAATACTTCATAATTGGTATTTACAAAATACTGTGAAGTGTAATGGAGGTATTTGAACTTTTTTTAGTAGAAAGTCTCTTTAATATTGATTAAACATAAAACAAATCTTCATTATAACACATTTTTACACAACCAGCCCTAGAATACCTCTCAACACAGGAATACAACCAGATACAACGACTGTCTAAGTCTTCACTTTCAGTGATAACTTGACATCAAGAAAATGCTCCCTCTCTAATAAACTGAAATGTTTTTCTGCAGTGTTTACAAGCTCTTGGAAAATTTGCCCGGAGGCTCAAAGATTTAGTTTTATGTCTAATAAACTTTTCAAACAATCTTATTAATTTAGTAAATCAATAAAAATAAACAATGAAGATTCCTTTACATAACTTTAGATGGAAAGCTACTCTTTATGCTTCTTTAAGCTAATATTTTAATGTATTTTGTCTCTCAGACTGTTATGAATATATCTGTCACTGAAAATCCCTACTGGCAAATGGAAGGCTAAAAGAAAGCTATGAATCTAACTATTCACAATGGAGGACTTATCAAGGTAACTACACAGACAGGGAAGGGAGAGACCTGATGTATTAAAAGTGCTTCTACTATTGCAACTCAGGGGAGAAGGTATTTTAATCCAAAAGGAAGTTTTTAAAGAAAATAAAACCATTTATATTCAGATCAGTGGTCATGTTGCCAATAAACATCACTCATGAAGGCCTACTTACCTCCAACTGCCCATCTCTCTTCCAGCCACCTCTCATTTCTTCCTCATGATTCCACACAATGTATTGATGTCTCTGTAACATTCCCCTTCTTCATGCCTCTTGCTAAATTATATTCCTGGGCATAGGCTGAGGAGATAGACTGCATAGCTGTTATCTCTTTTGTTCACCTTCAATCAATGAATGAAAAATTGTAGATGCTTTTTTTGTTTGACTTCTTTTCTCTTTTTTTTTTCTTTTGTCTTTAACTTAGAAGTGTTCTCCAGGTCACAATGTCAGAAAATGAAAAGGATAAGATGGCAAACATGCAACCTCCTCTATATTGCACACTATCCTTCATAATTCTCTGTTCACACATAGCCTTGAGAAAGTACTCAGCAGGGCACGGATCTCACAAGCACACTGTGTTCTGTGCCATGTGCACAGCCTGGGTGCCAGAGAGTGTGAAATGGAAATGGGAACTTTTGTTTAATAAACTAATCGACATATTCTGAGATGTTTAGAGAAATTTTCAACTGATCATCATAGGTGTCTCACTTGTAAGGAAGTACAGAGAAAAGGAGACCCAGAAACCTTTGGCTGTATTGACTTAATTTTCAGTGGCTGACTAAAATTGAATTTATGCTTCTAATGTAAAGCTGTAATTAAGTGGAAGTTCTAGCTTTCCTCTTTCCAAGAGAGTCTGGGTTTGTGCAAAGAATATTCTCTAGTACTCAAGCATCTGCTGCAGCTTTGGGGAGGTATACAAGTTTAGTGCCTTTGATGATCTTCATTGGCTTCTCAGACTGTAAAGCCATATGTAAGGGCTCTATAAAGCCATAAGACAGGTCTCAGCTGCCAAAACAAACACATGATCAAATAGTTTTTCAGTGCTTTTCTTTCCTTTTTTTTTTTTTTTTTTTTGCTTCAGGAAATCCTCTTTTTATATTGGGTCTGGTACCAGGGTGCAAGCATGCCGCACTAACATCTTTACTATGTCTGTGCAAACCCATATGCTGTAAAAATATTTAGATTCAGTTCTTGACAGGGACCATAATGTAACTAATTGTGGCACTTCGTTGTGATACACAGATTTATCCTTGCTTTGAGCAGCAGAGGAACTAATGTGGTATGCAACTGTAGAAACAAAGAAAAGAGGAAAACTGCAGAGAATGTTACCACCAAACAAATCTGGAACAAGTCCTGGGAATCTAAAAAAACTACATCAGTGTTGCATTGCAGAGAACAATTCTGAATTAGTATTTTGCAAAGGAAAAGGCTTACAGGTAAAGGAACTGAAGACAGAAAATGCTAACATAAAGGACCGGATTTATGCCACTTCCAATTGTTTAGCTTATTCCCGTAAAGCCGTTTCAGAGAAGACATGAGAACATACTCCCTTTGTACAATTTAGTCCTTCCAAAAAGCTGGAGTCAATACGTTTCACACCCTGCTGTTAAAACCATTACTGTTATGCCACTTTTATTTCTACCACCTCATTTATTCTAAAAGCATCTCTAAAATATTAAAATATCAACCTCACAGCATGCATGGATACTGAAGGAATTACAAGCAACTTTCATGAAAGGACTTGAGGGGTCTGAGTTGCTTTTTTTAATTTTTCACTATATCAGTGAAAATACATCTCTTAATCACAACTTCTCAGCTGAACCTATTGTTGCTTACATGAGTGCTTATCTCCTATTTCCCTGGAAAGTTAAACTGCCTTGTTAAATCTCAGGTGAACCAAGCCAATCTCTGCCTTTGCAGCAAACCAGAAAAGAGTAATATTTTCTGAATTAAACAGCTGTTTTAGCTGAAAGGCAACCACTTGCACCATAACCAAACAGTTGAGTTGCTGGTGGAGCCAAGACTTAAGACAGATCTGGGAGCAGTAGAAGCAACCTCCCAGGCTGACAACAGAGGTGCAAGGTGGCATTAAATCCTGCAAATGAAATATCTCTACTGGCTGAGCAGATTCTGAGACTTTGGAGTTAACACCTTTTGTAAAGCAATATTCAGAGAGATTATATTCCTGTGTATGGTAACAGATGATAAAACAAGGTGTAGGGCTGTTCAGAAGCAACATCTTGAATCTGTTTTATTTAGGCAATAACCAAATAATTAGACACTTTTGAAACTTCTTTATTTTTGATGAAATAAAATGTAAGAAAGTAAATCAAAAGATGTTTTAGACTTAGGTTTAATAGGATCCAAGATGGCATGTTGGTACAGTTTAAAATATATCACCCTACATTATAAATCAGGTTTTCACAGGATTGTAACATTTAAAAACTTTCTCAAGGTTTGTATTACAAATTCAGTACAAGTCTGGGCTATACATATGGAGGGAAAAAAAATACGAAGCAGCAGTTTATCACGGAGAATAAAAGAAAACCATTATAGCAATTAGAGTGTGTCTTCTGTGAAGTCCATGATTTTCATATGCATATTTGCACATTTGCCTAGGGAGGTGGTGGAGTCACCATCCCTGATGTGTTTAAAAAAACACTGGATGTAGCACTCAGTGCCATGGTTTAGTTGAGATGTTAGGGCTGGGTTGGACTCGATGACCTTGAAGGGCTCTTCCAACCTTGTGATTCTGTGATTCTGTGATAACTAAGCAAAGCCTTCTTCCAGCAGCTTGAAAAAGCCTGTACAATAACAGATGTCTTTGGGCACAGCAATTTGGGCAGGGAAGGAAATTAATGAGATATAAACTTTATTGTTTACAGACATGATTTTTATGTAAATGCAGCTTCCTCTTTTTATCCCATAAAACTTTATCAGGAAACTTTAGTTTGTGGAATAACAGTGGTAACTTCACCAGTAAATATAAAACCTAGAACTCCTGAATGCCAAAAAAAACATCCCCAAACAAGCCTTATTCAAAGTACTGATCCTTAAGAATTCTTAATTCATCCAGGCTTTTTTGGAGACTACAGGTTTTCAGTGGCACTTATTCCATATGTTCTTTTGGTGATCATCCGAGGAAGGCAACTGGTGGAAATATCAGGCGCAATTCTCTCATAACCTATAAATAAAATGTTATTAAATATCACCTGATCCCAGTTATTAGCCATGAGCATTTGGCTCTATTATGATAATATTTCCTCATCAGACCAAATTCTTGATTTAGTATTTGTTTTGATAGAATCTACAGTGAAATTATTTTCACATCTAGATATATTTTAAACCAAAGGAGAAAATGTGTAAAATACCCTGTAAATGTAACAAAAAGTCCTCTATTTTTGTTGTTGACTTAAATGGAAGTAAAATAAAATTTAAAAATTGTCATGTATGCCCAACTACCTGTCAGCTAAAGCCTGCCCTTCTAATCAGTTCTGTCTAGATGGGCATTGGTATCTTTTTAGGATTCTATTGATTTTGAGGATGGTCAAACAAATGATGAAACATGTAATGCACTGAATAAGACATTAAGCAAAACTGTAAAAATTTCCATGGTAAGCATATTAGAAAATAATCACAAGCAATTAATTTATAACTGGTTTATTTATCCTAAAAATTGCTTGTTATAGAGAAGTAGTTAAATATTATGCACTGTTTACATTGAAATTTTTGTTATTTTTAAAGATGAGCAACTCATGAAGAACTTTCACTGCTTTATATTTATTAGTCTTAGTTAACTTCCAGCTTTCTGTAGTCTCAAAAGTAAATTTACCTAACTGCTGATAAAAGCCAGTTTATACAAATTTTTGTTTAACTGCTTCGTACTAATTTTTCCCTTCCTTTGTGTTTGCCCACCTTCAAAGAGTCTGTACTAATGTAATCAGTCCTATTTGACAATGTTTAAAGCAAAATAACTAAAAAGATACTTATCCCATAGATTATACTAAACATTAGAGAGAAAATGCAGTGTTTAGAAGACAATTTAGATAATGTCCATTACATCCTCTTATGGTGTCACACTTTACTGAGCATTTCATAATTTCTTCTAATTTATATAAGAACATAGCTGAGAAAGGTGCCATTCAAAAGTCAAATCCAGCCAAAAGCTTCAGAGACACTGAATATCTGAAAAGCAAACTCAGATCTCTTTTATTCATTGTTTGTATTTTCTGTTTATATCCTTCAGTACTCCTTTGCTATTTTGAACATGCTTGGAAAAATTTCATCATCCATTATTTTGATGGCATGACATTTAGTGTCTTTCCAGATCACCCATAAAGGCTTTAAATGCTAAATATACTAGGGGTGATTAATGACTCTTCTTCTGTAGCATTGTGCCTATCTGAAAGCATTTCCCTTCACCACAGTCTTCATTTATAGTTCACAGCTAGTTCTCTATAAACATGAAATTCTAAGTTAAAATTTTCTTTATATGCATGAAACTCTGAGTTAATGTTTTCAGCAGTTGATGTTGTCTTCATCTACTGCTCTCTCCTTTCATGAATGTTTAAAATGTTCTTTATCCTTGTAATTAATACATTGGGTGAATTTCTTTGTGATTGGATGTTGTTCACACACCCCAGGCATCATTTTTTGAAATAACTTTGAAGACTTAAATTAGCAGAATGTATCGAGATTTTATTTATTGTAACAAGCATTGTTAATAAAGTCAGTCTGCCTTTTGTGTGGTAATATTTAAGGGCATTTTAATTCTTTAGCAGAATCTAGCTATCAACAGTTCTATGGGATAAATAAAAATCAAAATAAATCACAATGTTCTGAATGCCATGATGAGTACTAAGTCTAATTTCAGTTGAAATCTGGTCTAGACCACTGAGAGTTTATTGACCCTAAAAACTGCTTATTTGCATATAGATTTGTAGTTAACTGTAATTGTTATGCACTGTTTAACTTTTAATTTCTTTAAAGATCTGAAACTTGTGAGGAAATTACACTGATTTGTTAATTACATGCTTTATGTGATTTATTAATTAGGTGTCTTTTGCAATAGTTGATTCTGGGAACAGATTTCAACTCCTGTCATAGAAAAAAAAAATTCTTACATATATTGGTAGATAATTTTCATATTTTACCCTTAATTCTGAATTGTTCCATGTGGAGATATAAAAGAATATGGGAGGTGTAACTTTACAGATGTAAACCATGCATCTTTGCTCTGGCATTTCCTTGACAGTGTGTTTGTTATCCATTCAAGTCCTGATATTTAGCTTTATAGGAGAGTTAAGTGCAGTCAGAGCATTTATTTTAATTCTTCTAAATAGATATTATGATCCTGACATAGGAGGTAGCTCATAGTAGCCACATCTGCAAGGTGTGTCATCTCAAAGCCAAATTATACTCTTTAATTTTGGAAAGGTAAGAGAGGTATTGGGTGCTAGAGATATGAACCCCAGAATGAGACTCCATCTGCCAAATAACCCTCATAATAAATTACAAAATATTCCTAATTTATGTATTTCTGTGGGTCTTATGTAAACCTTTCCACCACAAATCTGTGCTCTCACATACAATGAGCCATACAACCATGAGTGCATTGTCAATCCATTCAACTGTAGCTTATGGAAAACCATTAAATGTTTATTAATAAATAAAGGATTGCATTATCTCATTTTATTGTGGGTTTTGATATACTTAAATTCCACATGCTAAATAAAAAGTGTAACCATTCTTTCTCAATTAATTTGCCAGTGTTGACAGAAGGTTGAACAAATTCCAGCTCCTCAGATACGTTTTCAGTTTTTCACAGAAAAAAAATTGAAAGTCAATCATTTTGGACACAGACTTAAATGTTACTATGAATATTTGGTAAATGTTTCATGCAAAAATAAAATGCATTGATATTTATTATTGTTTGAGTTCTAAGGATGCTGTAGTCCCTTCTTTTAGCTATACAATAAATAATCATTTAAAGTTGCAAAATTATGAATGTCATGGTCATTATCTCTGCTAGAATACCTGTAAATATATTATATTTAGAGTAAACACATTAATTTTATAGTTTATAGATTAAATTTTACTGAAGTTTTAAAATCACTGAATAAGAAAACAAATTTTTCCTCCAAAGTACTGCTTAAAGAAACTCATGCAAACCATACAAACTCTAATTGCTAAACAAAATGTTGGCTTTCTTTGAAAAATAACTGGAAGCATACTGTTATAATACTATAATATTTTTCCCGGTCATTAAGTTTAAAATAATATTAGTTGTGATCAATTATCAACAAAACTTATTAGATAAATTTCAAGCCAACAGAACCTTAGGGCAACAAGGTGGTTGTTGT